GTGGCCTCCCCTGTCTCCCTCCTGAGCCCACCGTCCCCGAGTCCTCCCTTCCTCCCTCTCCTCCTGAGCAGCCTCCTTCACCTCCCTCTTCCCCAGGGTGGGGGAAGACTACGGCGGGGGGGTCTAGTCCTCTCTCTCCAGGCTCCTTCTCCATGTGTCCCTGATGGCGGGTCAGATGGGACAGGTCACCCTTCCAGCTCCTCTGCCTGTGCTTCTCAAACCTCACCCCCCCGCCCCACTGGGTGTCAGCTTCTGCTTCCCGTCGTGATCAGCTGCAGTGCGTTGGGCACCCAAGCCTTAGAGCTGCACAAGCCTCCCTTGCCCCCAGGCCCGAGTCCTCCTCATCACTGGGATTTTAATGCATGGAACAGGAGCTTCCCACTTCTCTGCTGCAGACCCCTGCCCACTTGTGACTGTCCCTCCTAAGTGCCACCTCCTCCATCAAGGTCTCACCGCCCAACCACAAGAACTATTTCCCTCACTGTGTTCTTCACGTAACTCCTCCAAGTCCCTGTTATGACATCTGCCAGCTTCTGCCTTGTCATTTGGTGTCGGTCTGATTTCCTCTGTGTCTGCTGTGTCATGTCTGATGTCACCTCCCTAGTTCTGTGTCCCCCCTGACACCATCTGACACATACCCTAATGAAGTTCCTGCCCGATACACGTATATGGAAAGAATTAACAAATGAGTGGGCTCTCTAGAGGGGAGGTCACAACTGCCGTGTTCATCATGGGGATGCTTTCAACTATGGAAATAAAATCCCCTCTCTTCTCGCTTTCCAGGTGTTGTTCAAATACCCCATCACCCAATTCCTGGCTGCACCAGGTGTATTCCGAATGATTCTACAGGAGAAATTCGCCAAGTATGTACAAGTGGTTGGTAACAAGGAGCTCTGAGTAGGATTTATTTTCTTAAGGAATCTGATGGCAAGAGAGATTTTCTTTGTTTCTGGAAGTACTGTGTGTGTATGTGTGTGTGTGTGCGTGTGTGTGTGTGTGTGTGTGTGTGTGTATGTTGTTGGCGATGATGATTATCAGTCAGACTTATTTAAATCAAAGCGTGACACGGAGACCCAAGAGAAAAGCTCAATGTGCCTTGCTTGTATCTTTGTGGGGTTATTCAAGTGTCTTTATTACAAATGACAGACATACAGTGAGCACGCACAACATGTAGGTCTACAGATGAATCCAATGTTGAAAATACCTTCGTAGCGCTCACCTAAATAACAGAAATAGAACATTGCCAGCACCCCAGAGGCTTCCACGTGACTCCTCATCTTCCCTAAAGGCAACTACTGCCTCAATCCGATAGCGGTCCCTTCCCTATTTTCCTTTACAAGTTTAGCTACTAAGGCAATATTTCTGAGCAAGTGATTCCATTTTACACGCTTTTGAACTTGATATCTGTAATTCTACATCACTCTCTGATACCTTGCTTCTTTCTTCAGGATTGTTTTTAAGAGGCTCCCATGTTGTTGTCCATTAATGTAGTTAATTTTCAGTGCCATATAATATCCCATTTTATGGAAAAGCCACAATTTTCTTCTATCAATTCTACCAGTAGAGGAGATGTGGGTACTTTTCACATACGGACTACTGACTCAGTGCTCAATGAACTCTGGCCCATGCATCCTGGTACATAGGAGCATGCATTTCTGAAGAGATTTTCTAGAAGAATGAGCAGATCATACTGATAATACACAAAGCCAAAAGATTAAACCAACTAATGCTCCAAAACAAACATAGGAGTTTCCGTTGTTCCACATCCTCGCTAACATTTGTTATTGTCAAAGATAACTTTTGCCCATCTGATGAACGTACACCATTGTCTTACACAGTTTTATTTTTGCATGTCCCTGTGTTTGAAAATTAATTTTTCGCTAACCAGATATCCGCTCTTTGAACCTGAGGGACATTATTCATGGAGCCTTGGTCTGGCTGGATTCTGATTCCATTGAATTTCCAAGCTCATACATATCGCAGTTAAATTTTGCAACATTCCTCAGATGATGGCCTTTGTCCAAAGCAGTAAGATTTCTTCAGTGCAAAATGAGCGACTCCACCTGACATTCTGCTCACTTATGCAGGTGGGGCAAAGCCCAGAGGAGGGAGGGAGGCCCCTCAGTGGCACTCGCCCCTGCTCCCCCTCTGTCTACACCAGGAGAGGGAATGAGGTGGAAGGTGGTGCAGAAGCCACTCCCTCTGTCCTCCCAGGGGCTGGCCAGGCACCGCCCATGCCAGCTGGGTCAGAAGCAATCCCTCCCCCCACTTTCTTGCAGGCATCCAACCCTGATTGGCCATTGTTCTTGGGAGCTTTAGGAGAACTTCAGGGGAGGGAGAGCTCCCACCACCCAGGAACCCAGTCAATTAGGAGAAACGTTCCCATCAGACTTTGCCATTCTCCCTGGATTCCCTCTCTCTGAGCTTCTGTTTGCTCTGAGGTGTCCTGTGCTCCCTGCCAGCCTCTGTCTCTTCCCGCTCAGCCCCACCTTCCCCGAGGCCCTGGGGAAATCATCTCCAAACCCAGCTTCATTTCCCACCTCGAAACAGGAGCCTTCAGTCAGCAGCAGCCCTCACTGAGGGCAGCATGGTCCCCCACCACCCAGCGTGTCCCTCAGGTCGTGTGCACACCCTGAGCTGCACATCTGCTTCCCTAAGATGAGTTCTGATGAACCCACTTTGCTCCCTCCCCAAATCCAAATTGAACCTGAATTTCCTGATGAGCCCAGAGCCTCACGACCACCCGCCCATCAATGCCAGGAGAGACCTCGGGGGCTGGCAGGAAGGGAGAGCCTCCACTTGGCCTTGACCTCACCCCAATGACCCGAAGTTGTACAGGAAAGTCAGGGAGTGGTCGGGCGGATGATGCAGGGGACACCGCTGTCACCTGCTAAGGCACGGGCCTGGGGCCAGCTCCAGGCCTGACCCTGCTGCCCTCCCCCAGCCTCAGGTTCCCCACCCTGGAGCACTGCAGCACTGGCGGGGAGGCCCTGCTGCCCGAGGAGCATGAGCAGTGGAGACGACACACGGGCCTCCTGCTCCACGAGCTCTATGGACAGTCGGAGACGGTGGGTGCCCGGGCCGCGCGGGCCCCTGGACGGGCTGGGCTGGTCCTACTGCGCGCTGTGCTCAGCCCCACTGTGTGGCCCTCACTGCTCAGAGCCAACAGGAGGCTCCAGGGCTCCTAGCTCATTTGCCTCCAGTGGATTGACAGAAAGAGAACTCACAGCTGAAAACCCACCAGGACACCAACACCTGAGGAGGGACGGGCACGGTGTCAAAAAGGGACCTAAGGACATTTTGCCACTGTGCCTGTGATGTTAGCTCAGGGAGCCCAGGGGTGGGTGGGCTAGGAGGACCTCTCCCTCAACAGGGAGACCACCACCTGGAGGTCCTGCCAACTCCACCACGTGTCCCTTCCCAGGTGGCCCCTTGCAGAGGCATGGGAACTGGCTCCAGAGGGTCCTCTTGGGGTGGTTAGGGCCACGCAGGTTTGGCTGTGGAATGCCACCAGGGTGCATGAGGGGCCAGAGACTCTCTGTATAGACCAGACACAAACACACTCTGTGTGAGCCTAGAGTGTCACTGGGCCACCGGGTTGGAGGGCATTTAGGGTGGCATGCAAGCCTTGAACCTCCAAGACTCCATCAGCGGCAGTGTGGGAGGGTGCCCTCTCCCAACACATTCTCAGTCCATGTCTGATGCTGGGTGAGCCCATCATTCCTCCAGCTAACAGAGGGATGACCGCACCTTAGGCCCTGGGACAAACTGGAAAACCAGTTCCTTTGTTGCAATTCAACATATTTATCTGACATTTTTTTTTTTTAAGAAAAAAAATCACCTGATTGGTTTTCTTCTAAACTTAAAAAAGAAAAAAGAAACATTCCCAGTCTGGGCTGTTGAGCAGCTCACAGCTTGTGCTTGGGTGAGGAGGACGGTGGGTGAGGACGACAGGCTCATCCATGGCCCCTGTCCCTTTCTGTCCACCATCTGCAACAATAGCTGGTGCCTTGTCCTCAAAGCCCTGTCCTCCATCCACGCATCGGTTCCCACCCACCTCCAGTGTGCGTGGCCTGGGCTGTGGGGACAGAGCTTCCTTCCTCTGCCAGGAGCTTGGACTCAGGCCCAGATCTCAGCCCTGCCCTGGACAGGCTTCAGGACCATGCCCCTGTCCCTCGACCCTCTGAGCCTCAGCTGTCCCCCTGGAGAATGCGAATCATAATGGCCGGCTGGCGGGACTGTGATCAGGGAAAGGCCGTGTGCCCAGTGCTGGCCACAGGGCCCCAGCACAGGCTCGCCCTGGAGCTGCTGGGGACACACAGGTGGACGGGGCACTCTGTGTTCTCGGGGGCTTGTTCTCTCCCAGGAGGCAGACAAGCAAGGGCAGTTAGAGGTGTGGGGCTAATGTGCAGAGTGATGTGTGCAGCAAGTCCTGCAGAAGGACAATGACCAGCGGGCTTTCCTGCATCTTGGCCCGTAGCTGATCTCCCCTGCACCTTTGGGTGGCCTCGCGCTGTGGTCACACTGCAAATGCTCAGCCCTGGAAAGAGGGATAACGAGGAGCAGCCAAGGGGTCAGTGGTCAGGGAGGGGAAGGGGCGGAGCAGCACTGGGGCCAGCACAGTGGGCACGCTCAACACGGCTCTGAGAAGGAGCTGAGGCCGATCCCTTCACCATCCAGGAGCCTAGAGCGAGTGCGTGTGGACACCTGGTCTCCCCTGGATAAGGACCAACCCCGGCCCCAGTGTGTCTCAGGCCCCACAGCCCATGCCCCAGGTGGGGCTCACCCTCGGCATCTCTCTTTGACCCCTCTCTGGGCACTGGTCTCCTCATACTTAAGACAGAGCCACCCCCTGCTGGGGTCACTGTACAGTTGGGTCAGTGCCCTGAGCATGGAGTCCAGGACTTCAGCTTCCCCAACAAGGGCTCCTTGTACAGCATGATCGACATCTGTGCAGGGCAGGGTGGGGGCTGGGGCCGTGTTGTGTGAATTCTGCTGCTTAGTGACCAGCCTGGCCTCTTTGGCCATCCTCAATCCTCTCTCTCTTGTGAACAGGGAATGACTTGTGCTGTCTTCCGGGGAATGAACATCAAGCTGGGTTCCATGGGGAAGGCCATCTCACCCTTCGACATCCAGGTCTGGTCCTCAGGACTTTGGCAGAAAGGCACAGTGAGGGCCCAGCTGGCACTGGACCCTCCTGTGACAGCAGGTGACAGATCCAGCCATGCTTCCCTGCCCGGTGTCCCTTCCCTCTCTCTCTCTCCCTGTTTCTCTTCCATTTCTTATGGAGGCTCCCTGGCAGCCAGATCCTCACACACAGTGAAGGGAGGACACCTCCCCGGAGCGCTGGAGGCTTTCCCCACCAAGTGGTGCCAAAGGCACACGGGTGATGGCTACACGCTCAGGAAACCCGCTGACCCTTGACACGGATTCCACAGTTACGCACTTCACCGAATTTTGAAAGTCATATTCTATTTTCAGACATGCTTCTCCCGTCACTCTCCCCAATTTCTTCCTGGTGTCCCGGGTAGAAGCCAGGCCACACTCAGGCGGGGGCAGGTGGGCTGGGCGAGTCCTGCGCGGCAGGACTGACAGGCTTCTTACTCCAGATCATCGACGACAAGGGCAACATCCTGCCCCCCAATACTGAAGGAAACATGGGCATCAGGATGAAGCCCACCAGGCCACCGGGCCTCTTCATGTACTACGAGGTAATGGAACACGGGTACCCCTGCCCAGAGCCCTGCCTCCCGAGCTTCTTCAGGTCATCCTCCATTTGCTCTCACTTGATGAAGCCCCTTTAAATTACCACCAAGGCTTACAGGGCATCACTCCATCTCCCTACCCTAACCCCTCTGAGGCTTAATGGGTAACGGCTGAGGTGGAAAGAAGACTTGCTTCAGAACCACCAGAGGTGTGATGCCTCATGAGCCCCTTCAGCCCTGTTCAGTTTTGGTTTTTTTTGTTTTTTTTTTCATTCTTTTTGGTTCTCAAACTTGATTTCTTTTCAGTTACTCTATTTCCAGTCCCCTGATTCTTTCTTTTGCCTTCTCTAGTATGCACTTCCCTTCTAGTGCATTCTTGACTTCAGTTATTATACCTTTGAGCTTCAGAATTTCTCTTTTGGAAAGAGAAATCTTATCATTTCTTTCTCTTTAGATTTTTTTGTTGTTGTTGTTTCATGCATACGTCATTTTGCTGACTTCCTTTAACTCTGGTCTGTTTTACCCCTTGGCTCATTAAGCATATTTAAAATACTCAAGTTATCTGTCAAGTAAAGACAATGTTGAGGATGTCAGAGGCCGTTTATGTCCATTAATTTTATTTGGGGGATGAGCCATGTTTCCCTGCTTCTTTGTATGCCTGTGACTTTGTTGTTGCACCTGGTGGTGGGGTTAAAAGTTGGGTCTGTGCTTGTCTTAATGTGGTAACTCTATATAACCCTGAAAATCATATTCTCTTTCTTCCTACTGCTTTTTTGCACCTGAATTCTGCTTAAACTAAGTCATCGCCTTGCGACAGCCCTCCAAGTATCAACCAGACAAATTAGGACATAGCAATTTCCACATAAGATGTGTTCTACTCCCTACAGTCGTGGGAGGAGAGAGGAGGAAATGGGGAGCAGGCACGGCCAGACCATGACTCTCGTGCTGGAATAAAGGTGGGGCCATTGTGAATCCAAATGCCACAAACTTTTCTACCATTTTGAAAATGGCTTTTCCTTGACCAGAAATCGCTCAGTTGGTGTGAATCTTTGGCTACCTTCTAGAGCAACTACAAAGTCAGTTCAGACAGCTTCCGGGTTTCACTGGTGTGGTTGTTTTGATATTTGATGTTTCTGTGGAGGAATGAGAGATCAGAGCTTCTAATCCGCCATTTCCCTAACATCGATCCCCTCTACCACCTTTAAAAAGTAGCCGAGGTTTACCTGAAGGAGATAAATGTGGACTCTGCCCCTCTCCATGTGTAGGTGAGATATTTTCTCCCTGACCCTCAGGAGCTTTTCTTTTCTCCAAGGAAGGATTAGTGAGGTTCACCTTCAAGAAATCAGGTTCAGAAGGAGGAAAGAATTGCTTCTATGGAGGTGTAAGGCTGTCTTCTAGGGGCTAGGCTCGGGCACTATCTGAGAAGAGGATACCAGAAAAACTCATTCCCATCAGGGAGGACCTGTCTTTCAGGGTGCATTAACCAAAGTATCAAAAGATACTTTCATACCCCAGTGGTGCATGAATGGGGGGAAATATTACCCACAATGCAATGTTTCCTAAGTTTCATTCATTTCTGTCCACATCTGACCACTGTCCATTCTATTCTTTGTTAACTATGTTTTTATCTACCTTATATGTTCTCAAACAAACTCACTGTTTCACTTAAAAATTTTTTTAAACAATTGATCTAGTATCATAAGTGGAAAACAGTATCACTTGAAAATCCGATGGCTGTGGTAACCATAATTAAATATTTTTAAAGAAACTGTCTAAAATTTTAGATAAATCCTGTTTCTGCTTAAAGCTCTGATCTCAAAGCTTACCTTCCTCTTGGTATTTGCAGAAATTCTAAAAACATGTGAACTGCAAACCAAGAATCTCCTTGATAAAAGCAGAACAATCAGAAGTGAATTCAAAAAGCGGGGTGCTCTCCTGGGTTTGCAGGTGTCTCTTAAAATCATCTGGTGTCCCACAAGAAGGGCGGCTTATGGATCAAGGACTAGGCTATGAAACAAGAACTAAATTCAAATATCATCCCTTTCTTTGATTTGTTGGTTGATTTTGAGCAAGTAACTGTGCTATTCTGAGCATCAGTTTCTTCTTCTATAAAATAAGCTACAAAAAAAAAATCTAGCCTCACACAAAATCACATACAAAAATGTTTGTAGCAGTTTTACTCATTATAGCTCCCAAGTGGAAAAAAAAAACAGACATCCTTCAGTGGGTGAATAGCTAAACAAAAACTGAGGTACATTTATAGCAAGGAAATCTATTCAGCAAAATTAAAAAAAAAAATCAAACTAACAATGAACACAGCAATGTGGATGAATCTTCAGAGAATTATACTAAGGGAAAGAAGCAGTCTTAAATGGCTACATACTATGAGTCCACTTATAGAACTGGGGGACATTCTGTCAAGTAAATTAATCCAAAGACAAATACCTTGTGTTCTAACTCTCATGCAAAAGCTTAAAACCTTGATCTTATAAAAATAGAGAGTAGAATAATGTCACTAGAGGCTCAAAAGGGGCTAAGGGATGGAGAAGAGAGGGAGTTTGGATAACGAATACCAAAACAATGAGACAGGATGAATGAGTCTAGTGTCCTGCAACACAATAAGGTGACTATAGTTACAACAATTTATTTTGTATTTTATAAAGAAGAATTAGGAGTTCACAATTTCTCAACACACACAAAAAAAAATTGTAAATGTTTAAGGAGGTAGAGATGCTTATTTTTCTGATTTTGTCATTACATATTGTGTTCATGTACTGAATCTTCCCAATAATATGCAGAGTTATCATGTGTCAATTTATAACAATAGGGAACAGGATAGTGTTGCCAAGGGGGTTAGGGATGGGAAGAGAGGAGGGAAAGGGACTGGAAGGGAGTTGGACATGGCTGTCAAAAGCAACCTGAGTGCAGGGTACAGTGGCTCATGCCTGTAATCCCAGTGGCTCAGGAGGCTGAGGCAGGAGCATCGTGAGTTCAAAGCCAGCCTCAGCAAAAGTGAGACACTAAGCAACTCAGTGAGACCCTGTCTCTAAATAAAATACAAAATAGGGCTGGGGATGTGGCTTAGTAGTCGAGTGCCCCTGAGTTCAATTCCTGGTATTAAAAAAAAAAAAAACCCTAAGCAATTCTGCTAGTGGGGGCTGTTTTGTGCCCTGACTCTTGTGGTGGTCACAAGGTGGTCAATTTGCATATGAATAAATATACTCACAGACATACACAAAGTAAAAGTGAACTAGAAAATATCACAATAAGATCAGCAAATTCTATCAATGTCGGTATCCTTAATGGAATACTGAAAAATAGTTTTGCAAGATGTTACCATTGGGGGAGACTGGATAAGCGATACATGGGATCTCCTTATCATGTTTCTTAAAACTGTGTGCAGATCTACAATTATCTTCCAAGGAAAAGTTAACTTGAAACTACCACCCTTCTAGGCTGTCTGTAAGGATCAAATGGAAAAGTATTGGGGAAGAAAATTCACGCAGTGAATGCTCATCAGCCCCTCCCCTCTATCCAGGCACCTTGTAAATGCTGAGCTCCTTGCAGGGAATAAAGTAGAAAGCTTTCCCACATTAAGGGAAATTTTATTCTGGTGGCATGCCACACAAAAGTGAGCTGTTATTTCTAAAGACTGTCTTTAAAAATGCCTCATAATGTCCACTCGTGGAGAAGCAGCAGCATCGAGTTCTTACATGTAGTGTAAATAGACTCAAAGGCATTACAAAATTTTCCCAGGTACCAGGAAGAACCAGAATCCAACCCCAGATCCGAGCCTGAGGCTGCAGCTCATCCTCTCTCACCTCACCGCCTTCTGTTCTCTTTGCAGAACAACCCAAAGGAGACAGCGAAGGTGGAGTGTGGGGACTTTTACAACACCGGGGACAGAGCAACTATGGATGCAGAAGGTTACTTGTGGTTCCTGGGCAGGGAGGATGACATCATCAACGCCTCTGGGTAGGTGTGGCTGACCCTATGCTGGATCCTGTCACCCTCACACGTCTCCCAGGATACACTGCCTGTCTGAGCTTCCTCCATGCCTGGGTGATGGGACCTGAGGTCTAATTCTGAGCAGAACCATTTCTAGCATCTATGGGTCCTGTGCACCTCTTGTGTCCAGAAAAGCCAATCAAAACACAGTTCAAAGTTCTGGATGGGGATTAAGATATCACACAATTTAAAGGTGGTGGTGGGATTGGGAGGGGAGACAGTTTTGGTCCCCCAACCTAGGGGAGCTTATTTTATGTCTGTGTTCCACTTACACAGCACAGCTTATCCAAGGAGAAACGTGGTAATAATAATAAGAGCCTACCCCTGCAAAGAACTTACCACGTGGAAACTCTCCATTGCTCTCTATAACCCATCTCAATGCAAATGGGAGATGAGATTACCATTCTTATGCCCCTGACAGTGAAACTGGGTCACTGAACAGTGAAGAAACTGGCCCACAGTCTCAAATGTCAAAAATGATGGCATCCGAATCAGAGCCGAGGCAGCCTGAGGCTGAGCCCTAACTCCAACCTGATTTTGAAACCAAGACATATGACACAACTTCCCTTGAATATTTCAGAAACTGCAATATTTTTAACGGACACATAATAATTGTACATCATGATAATTCGATACACATCTGCAATAAGAGTAACAAAATCAGATCATTAGCATACCCATCACCTCATGCATCCATCCTTTCTTTGTGCCGAGCGCATTCAAATGTCCCTTCTATTTTGAAATATGTTAAACATTATTGTTAACGATAGTCACCCTGCTGTGAAATAGCAATAAAACCTCCTACTTACAAATTTCTAAAACATGTTGATGTGGGTGTGAGCTGAAAATTTGCTAAGAGAGTATGTTCTAAGTTTCTGGCCATGCATGAGTACTGTACATAACCCACCAGCAGTGGTACAGGAGGTGATGGACATGTTAATCTGCTAGACTGTGGTAATTTCACTATGTGTATGTAAAGCATTGTGTTTATAAACATGCTTGTAAATACTTTAGTATGTATTACTCACACATATATGTGCATATGTGTACACACACACACACACACACACACACACACACATGTATAAGCCAGCATACTAATATATATTTTTTCAATTAAAAAAATATACATTATCCATTTCAATAAAATAAAGCATGTTGGTAGAGTGAGGAGAGGATGTGGAATTTGCTTGCAGTTGCAGACTCCCGGGAAGTTGCTGGGGAAACGACTTGCCCCAGGCACCCAGGCTCTGGAAGAGAAAGCTGCTCCCTCCCGCCCACCAGAGGCCCTGGGGCCAGAAGTCCCTGGTCACTGCTGGGCTGGGCTGCGAGGGTTACCTCCAGCACTGAATGCCCAAGCCTTTGCACTTAGGGACCAAACACAGGCAGTTCCCAAGTCTCAGACTCCCCAGGACCGCTACCCTTGGGGTCCAGGGGAGATGCGACCCTCCAAGGTACAAGAGTTAGACTTAGTTCCCTCCAGCCCCAGCCTCTGCCCCAACTATTGATCCCATCCCGCAGGTACCGCATCGGGCCGGCAGAGGTGGAGAACGCCTTGGCGGAGCACCCTGCGGTGGCCGAGTCCGCGGTGGTGAGCAGCCCGGACCCGAAGCGCGGGGAGGTGAGGAGGTCCCCAGATCCGTGTGTCCCTGTGCGCCCTGACGGAGCAGCTCCGGGAAACCTAGGACAGGGAGAAGGCCTAATAGATGCGCATGTGCACAACTACTATGGGGTCACCAGGTGGCGCTGTGGCCTCAGCCGAGGCTCTGAAACAGCTGCTAAAGCTTAATAATGAGCGTTTACTATGAGCCAAATCACTAAACGCTGGCAAAGCCAACAGTCTAAGGATGCTTACTGTATTCTCTGTATAGACAAGGGAAAAGAAGGGGTTAAGTAACTTGCCCGTCAATCACACAGCTAATATGAGGTGGGGCCAGCCAGGCGTGGGGGTCCATGCCCGTTGTCCCAGCTACTGGGGAGACGGAGGGAGAAGGATCGCAAGCTAAGGCCAACCTGGGCAACTTATGGATACCGTACCCAAAATACACAGCTGAAAAGGGCTGGGCTCAGTAGTACTGGGTACCTTGGTTTAATCCCAGTACCTAAAAGAGAGGGAGGGAGGGAGGGAGATCGGAAGAGCGGTTGGAGGAGGAGGAGGAGGAGGAGGAGGAAAGAGATAGATCCAAAAGAGAACTCCAAGCAACCTACCTCCAAAGCATGTGTTTACTAGGTCAACAAGTATTGATTGAATATCTTCTGTGTACAAAATCTTTTGCAATGAACTGGGACAAAATTGCTAATGTAAAAATGAATTGTTAACAATTATTAAACCCTGCTGGTTTCCAGCACAGATCTCCACGATGAAGATGATTAGTGGGAGTGATAACAAATGGAAACAGACGATTTCTATATGTTACCTCATGGGTCTTTAAAGAAAGCCTATTAGGAATGACACGTTTATTGTCCCCATTTTCCAGAGAAGCAAAATGAGTTTAGGTATGAAATAGAAATAGGAAGGCCAGGGACGTGGACCTGCTCCCCCTCCTTTTCCAAATCCCTGGTGCTCTTGATACCCTGGGCTCAGCCATCAACTTGCCTTTCCATTCATTCAATAAACACTTTTTAAACTCTGTACATAATAAGCCCTTCCTCTGAGGAGCCCTCATCTGAGACCCCACTCCCGTTCTGCAGGTGGTGAAGGCATTTATTGTCCTGAACCCGGAGTTCCTGTCCCATGACAAGGACCAACTCACCAAGGATCTGCAGCAGCATGTGAAGTCGGTGACGGCCCCGTACAAGTACCCAAGAAAGGTGAGCCAGGGCAGAGGGATGGGCCCCGTGCCCCGCACAGTCCCCAGGGTTTTGTTGCACATCTCGAGGGTGGCCCTGCAGTGGGGAGCTTTGCTCTCTGCAAAAGAGATTAACTGGGATCACCGTCATTGGGAGGCAGAGCTAGAAGCCAAATGCATGTGTGTCTGACAGCAAATCTCGTGTTTCTGTCATGAGTCAAACCATCACTGTCAAGCATAATGTTCTACCGGCTCACCGACAGCAGAACAGGTGCTCTCCCCAGGTAGGAGGTGCAGGTAATACAGCACCCCAAACCATGAAGGGCTGTAATGATGAAGGCTTTTTTCTTGATAATGCAGTACATCCCCCCATAGCTCTTCTAGGATCTCTGCCCCACATCCGCTCATCCTGGGGCTGAGTTGAAGGTGCAGCCACCATATAAATACCTGCTGTACAAGACGGAGGTTAGGGAGGCCATTGGTTCCAGACTCTCGGCCTCGATGAGACCTACTTCCTTCCACCCCACTTCATGGGCAAAACCAGTCACAGGGCTCTATCCAGCTTCAGGGAGTTGGGAGAGGAATCTGCCAAGCTCAGTGGACCCCACTTAGGTTGCCAGGAGGTTTCGTCCTTTATGGGGACTGTGAAGGTCAAAGGAAGGTCATGGGGAATGAGTGGGAAGCTATAGCAGACTCAGAAGGGATTTGCTTTCTTCTCAACTAGGTGGAGTTTGTCCTAGAACTGCCTAAAACCATCACCGGCAAGATTAAACGGAGTGATCTCCGGAAAAAGGAGTTTGGTGGGATGTCATCAAGGAAAAAAACAGAACCTACCCCGTGACTTAGGCAAATCCCCGGGGTACCTCAATTTCCTCAATAGGGTGGGGTTTGGAGAGGTATCAGGAGGTCTGAGGCCCCAGTATTTTTTTTTTTTTGTCCCTCTGAGTTTGGTTGCTGCCCTCCTTGGAAGTCCTCTGTTCTCCTGGAGGGCCCAGGTGAGCTCGAGGATTGGGGTTGCAGGTAATAAAACACTAACAGCAGCTGCAACAGCACCTCAGTGCTCTCCGTTTGCTTAGTGACGCCATCTGTGCCAAACGCCTTTCCTCCACCATCACCCCCACCCCCAGTCCAGCACATCCCATGGCCAGATGCGCCCTCTTAGCACCAGCATCTGGAGAGGCTCCCAGCTCCATTCCGTAGCCAGGACCCAGGGCCAGGAAGGAGACTGCCTGCTGGACCACGCGCCTGCCCCTGCGAGACACAGGAGCCCACAGCCCCGACTTTCCTCGACAGACACCCAACAAGGCCCCTCCTTCCCAGGGACTCAGGAGCTTGCTAGGGATCCCCACTCACTCTGCCAGGGATCAGGACCCCCTCCTTATCCAAGAGTCCTCCCCAGACAGCACCTCTTTTCCTTCTCACTATAACCCCCCCCCCCAGGGTCACAGATCCCTCTCCACCCCCTGGTTTAGACTCCTGTGCCTGGGCCATGTCCTTGGGTGTGGAGAGCGGTGACTTGGATCATGGTCTTTGACTGCCTGGGAGCCGTGGCTGTGCCTTGCCCTGGGAAATTTCCCTGCAAAGGTGCAGGACAAGATTGCCCAGGAGGGGCTGGGGTTGTGACTCAGTGGTACAGTGTTTGCCTAGCACGTGGGAGGCACTGGGTTCGATTCTCAGCATGACTTTAAATAAATAAAATAAAGGTCCATCAACAACTAAAAAAAAAAAAAAACATAAAAAAAAAAGATTGCCCAGGAGCTATGGTAAAGCCTTTGCCTGAGAAAGTTCTGTGCAAAGGTTTGGAACAATAACAGTCTTGACCTTGAGTTCAGATACTGACTGCTGGGAATAGAGAATTCTGAGCATGACAAGAAACCCACAGTATCTTGCAAGTGCTATGGGCTTCAAGCTTGACCACTTTGCAGAAACTTCCCATAAATAACTTTTTTTTTCCTCCCTGCCCCCCCCTTTTTTTCTTTTGGTACCAGGGATTGAACTCAGGGGCACTCAGCCACTGAGCCACATCCCCAGCCCTATTTTGTATTTTATTTAGAGACAGAGTCTCACTGAGTTGCTTAGTGCCTCTCTGTTGCTGAGGATGGCTTTGAACGCGACCCTCCTGCCTCAGCCTCCCGAGCCACTGGGATGACAGGCGTGCCCCACCACATCCCACCACAAGTAACCTTTTGATGATAAAACCTACATAATAAACATACTGTGCTACTCTGGGTCACTGTTCTTCCATCAGGGGTTGATGTCCTACCTGGTCCCAGCTTTCTCTTTGTAAATGTTTGGGTGTCTTAATGCCACCTCGCCTGTCTTTAGGTTTGGCAGTGTGGGTAGCCACACTTGGGGTCTGGTGTACAACCACCAGGGGGAGACCAGAGGCAGAGAGGAGCAGGGGCAGCAGCGTCCCAGCTGTGGGTGGAGAAGAACCTGCTGACCCCTCTCACTCACCCCAGCTAGTCACCACTGGAAAGATCCCTCGCACGTCTGCCTTGTTATGAAGTCCACAGTGATACACACTCATGGAGGAACACACAGGCAACGGCCAACACAGATGCACATCACAGGCATCACAGGACCAGCCACACCAAAGAAAACCCACACCCCCAACTCTAACCTCACAGACCCTGAAGTCCAGACCACGTGTTCCCAGGCAGATTTGCACGACCAGACACACACCGCCACACCCCAACGCACAGGGTGAGCCAAGGCCTGGCACTACATCATCTGCCCCCTGAACTGTCACAGAATGTGGTGTTTGCTTGGATCCAAACTGAGTGCCGGGCATCTGTCACTTGTAGGGCATTCCTGGACATCATGCCCAGGCCCTGAGAATTGCCAGGCTAGGGTGACCCTGGGGACAAACACAAAGCACAAGATCAGGAGAGGGAGGTGTTGGCTGGGGCTTAGCAGGGCTAGCAGCCAAGAGAGGGAGGAAGGAGCGCCCCCAGGACCCTGCCTGTGCCACAGTGGGCCGCACCCCCTGCTCCACATCAACGATGCCCTGGGGAATATGAGATGATGCTGGTACCACAGTGACCAACGGCTTGGGCAGCAGGTAGAGGAGCTGGACAAGAGCGTGGCCCCCAGGTGCAGTTCTCCTCTGAGCAGGGCTCACCCACACAGAGCTGGGCTCTGGGCCACTTGTCTCTCTCGCCCCTCCCCCTCTGGGGTCTCCCCGACTCCTCATGCCCCTTTCCAAACCCAGGTCCCTCTGACACTCTGCTCTGCCTGGACACAGCCCCTCCCTGACCACTCTGGATCTGTGTCCCCATTTGTGCAAGGGAGCTGGAGAGGGCACCTCAGGGTCCTGGGGCAATGCCTGTAAAGTGTTGACACAAGCAGTACCGAGAGCCGTTGTTACAATCATTACTGCCTTTAACAGCTGTGGACCTTCCAAGGTGCCAGTTCTGGAAGGAAAGAGGCCCCTCACAATGCCCCATGGGCATGGGCCCAATATGTCACTTTCCCCAGTCCTCAAGAGCCTGTGCACCCGGCTGCCAAGTGCAGCCCAGGCCTCAGAGATGATCAGCAGCACAGCTGGTCCCCCACCCAAGGCACCTGACCCTGCCAAGGTCTTTGGAGGTGTCTCTAGGGGACAAAGAGGACATGGCAGGTTGACACTGGCTTTGGGCAGCTTCCTGGGCTGTAAGAATGACCTTCCCTTTCAGGGTCCTGGACTCTGCTCAGTTTCCCTTCCTTTCTTCTGTCCAGATTGGGTTTCAATCCTAGTGACCCTGGCATCCCCGCTCTGGATGTCCCCTGCCCCTGTACAGGCTGGGCCTCTCCCCTCTTGATAACCTGTCACCGTTGTGCAGTTGACTTCAACCTTCCTGCTCTGGTGCTCTACTTTTAAACCATGACGAGCCAGTTCTGTGGCTTTTTATGCAGATAACGGCACCGAAGCAAAATGCGTATCATTGTATCTACATAATGCAATGACAGACTGTTTGCAGCTTACATGCATAAAGATTAGAGAGATGGGGTTTCTAGCCCTGATTCGGAGCTGCCATGGGCCACATGGGGTTTGGGGACACGTGTAGTGACCCTGAGGAAGTTCCCCTCAAGACCCAGCCAAGGAAAGAAACTCCCTAATGTGGGATGTGCCCCAAATTCCCCTGGATGGGCTGCTTCTCAGATACCCCCCCCCCCGCACCCGATATCCCATGCCCGTCCACAGACTCCACGAGAGAAACGGGCCTCTTTCAAGTCCGCCTAGGAAGCAGACGGTGCAAATCCATTCTAAGCTCAGTGCAGCTCTCAACTGAAGCCTTCCCTGGGAAATTCAAGAGAAAGAGAAAGAGAGAGGGAGGGGACACCAGGCGGGGAAGCATGGCTGGATCTGCCACCTGCTGTCACAGGAGGGACCAGGGGCCAGTCAAAGTCCTGAGGACCAGACCTGGATGTCAGAGGGTGAGGCAGCCTCCCCATGGGACCCAGCTTGATGCTCATTCCCTAAGAGACAGTGCAAGTCATTCCCTGTTCACAAGAGAGAGGATTGAGGATGGCCAAAGAGGCCAGGCTGGTCACTAAGCAGCAGAATTCACACAACACGGCCCCAGCCCCTGCCCTGCCCTGCACAGATGTCGATCATGCTGTACAAGGAGCCCTTGTCGGGGAAGCTGAAGTCCTGGACTCCATGCTCAGGGCACTGACCCAACTGTTCAGTGACCCCAGCAAGGGGTGGCTCTGTCTTAAGTATGAGGAGACCAGTGCCCAGTGAGGGGTCAAAGAGAGATGCCGAGGGTGAGCCCCACCTGGGGCATGTGCTGTGGGGCCTGAGACACACCGGGGCCGGGCTGGGTCCTTATCCAGGGGAGACCAGGCGTCCACACGCACTCGCTCTAGGCTCCTGGATGGTGAAGGGATCGGCCTCAGCTCCCTCTCAGGGCCGTGTTGAGCGTGCCCACTGTGCTGGCCCCAGTGCTGCTCCGCCCCTTCCCCTCCCTGACCACTGACCCCTTGGCTGCTCCTCGTTATCCCTCTTTCCAGGGCTGAGCATTTGCAGTGTGACCACAGCGCGAGGCCACCCAAAGGTGCAGGGGAGATCAGCTACGGGCCAAGATGCAGGAAAGCCCGCTGGTCATTGTCCTTCTGCAGGACTTGCTGCACACATCACTCTGCACATTAGCCCCACACCTCTAACTGCCCTTGCTTGTCTGCCTCCTGGGAGAGAACAAGCCCCCGAGAACACAGAGTGCCCCGTCCACCTGTGTGTCCCCAGCAGCTCCAGGGCGAGCCTGTGCTGGGCCCTGTGGCCAGCACTGGGCACACGGCCTTTCCCTGATCACAGTCCCGCCAGCCGGCCATTAGGATTCAAATTCTCCAAGGGGGGACAGCTGAAGCTCAGAGGGTCGAGGGACAGGGGCATGGTCCTGAAGCCTGTCCAGGGCAGGGCTGAGACCTGGGCCTGAGTCTGAGCTCCTGGCAGAGGAAGGAAGCTCTGTCCCCACAGCGCAGGCCACGCACACTGGAGGTGGGTGGGAACCACTGCGTAGATGGAGGACAGGGCTTTGAGGACGAGGCACCAACTATTGTTGCAGATGGTGGACACAAAGGGACAGGGGCTGTGAACGAGCCTGTTGTCCTCACCCACCCTCCTCCTCGTCCAAGCACAAGCTGTGAGCTGCCCAACAACCCAGAGTCGGAATGTTTCTTTTTTCTTTTTTTTTTTTTAAGTTTGGAAGAAAACTAATCAGGTGATTTTTTTTTCTTAAAAACAAAATGTCAGATAAATGTGTTGTGTTATGCTCGAATTCGGGACCCCCAAAGACCACCAGAGACCCAAGATCGATGTAAGCAGCAAAGAGGTGTTTATTGAGAGCTAGCTCGGTCCTCCGCACGCACACACAGCAACTGGTGACGCTGAGAGGCCCCGAGCCCAGGGTTTGCAGCAGTTTTATACATTCTTCGGAGAAGGTAGGGACCCCCACATACATCATAGCATCTCTTAGCAAATCATCACACACCGAGGGAAAATCAAATAACAACTCTAAAACATGATTAGCACATTCACTGGTGGGAACAAGTTGGGTAGGGGTGATTGGTCAGTACAAAAGGGGTATTTATTTGAACTGATTGGTTTAAGCCAAGAGGGGTGTATGTGCTGAACTACATGGTTTCCCAACATGTTATAAACCACCATAAACTAATGGGGGGTCATCTGGCATCCCAGGTATTTCCCTGTCTCATGCTGATTGGTGGCTGCTAGGGGGCTGCTATAGGTCCCCACCTAGCCTGACTGAGTCAGGGACACCTGGCACAGCAGATCTCTCCTGTTATCTGTAGATAAACAACTTAGCAGGGTGGGAATGTGCCTAGGAGAGCTCTGTGGGTCTTTCCAAGGACAAAGGTGATGTCCCTTCCTTGGACAGGCTTTGCTCTGAGATAGAGGCTGATTTTTCAGTTGAATTGCAACAAAGGAACTAGTTTTCCAGTTTGTCCCAGGGCCTGAGGTGCCGTCATCCCTCTGTTAGCTGGAGGAATGATGGGCTCACCCAGCATCAGACATGGACTGAGAATGTGTTGGGCGAGGGCACCCTCCCACACTGCCGCTGATGGAGTCTTGGAGGTTCAAGGCTTGCATGCCACCCTAAATGCCCTCCAACCCTGTGGCCCAGTGACACTCTAGGCTCACACAGAGTATGTTTGTGTCTGGTCTATACAGAGAGTCTCTGGCCCCTCATCCACCCTGGTGGCATTCCACAGTCAAACCTGTGTGGCCCTAACCACCCCAAGAGGACCCTCTGGAGCCAGTGCCCATGCCTCTGCAAGGGGCCACCTGGGAAGGGACACGTGGTGGAGTTGGCAGGACCTCCAGGTGGTGGTCTCCCTGTTGAGGGAGAGGTCCTCCGAGCCCACCCACCCCTGGGCTCCCTGAGCTAACATCACAGGCACAGTGGCAAAATGTCCTTAGATCCCTTTTTGACACCGTGCCCGTCCCTCCTCAGGTGTTGGTGTCCTGGTGGGTTTTCAGCTGTGAGTTCTCTTTCTGTCAATCCACTGGAGGCAAATGAGCTAGGAGCCCTGGAGCCTCCTGTTGGCTCTGAGCAGTGAGGGCCACACAGTGGGGCTGAGCACAGCGCGCAGTAGGACCAGCCCAACCCGTCCAGGGGCCCGCGCGGCCCGGGCACCCACCGTCTCCGACTGTCCATAGAGCTCGTGGAGCAGGAGGCCCGTGTGTCGTCTCCACTGCTCATGCTCCTCGGGCAGCAGGGCCTCCCCGCCAGTGCTGCAGTGCTCCAGGGTGGGGAACCTGAGGCTGGGGGAGGGCAGCAGGGTCAGGCCTGGAGCTGGCCCCAGGCCCGTGCCTTAGCAGGTGACAGCGGTGTCCCCTGCATCATCCGCCCGACCACTCCCTGACTTTCCTGTACAACTTCGAGTCATTGGGGTGAGGTCAAGGCCAAGTGGAGGCTCTCCCTTCCTGCCAGCCCCCGAGGTCTCTCCTGGCATTGATGGGCGGGTGGTCGTGAGGCTCTGGGCTCATCAGGAAATTCAGGTTCAATTTGGATTTGGGGAGGGAGCAAAGTGGGTTCATCAGAACTCATCTTAGGGAAGCAGATGTGCAGCTCAGGGTGTGCACACGACCTGAGGGACACGCTGGGTGGTGGGGGACCATGCTGCCCTCAGTGAGGGCTGCTGCTGACTGAAGGCTCCTGTTTCGAGGTGGGAAATGAAGCTGGGTTTGGAGATGATTTCCCCAGGGCCTCGGGGAAGGTGGGGCTGAGCGGGAAGAGACAGAGGCTGGCAGGGAGCACAGGACACCTCAGAGCAAACAGAAGCTCAGAGAGAGGGAATCCAGGGAGAACGGCAAAGCCTGATGGGAACGTTTCTCCTAATTGACTGGGTTCCTGGGTGGTGGGAGCTCTCCCTCCCCTGAAGTTCTCCTAAAGCTCCCAAGAACAATGGCCAATCAGGGTTGGATGCCTGCAAGAAAGTGGGGGGAGGGATTGCTTCTGACCCAGCTGGCATGGGCGGTGCCTGGCCAGCCCCTGGGAGGACAGAGGGAGTGGCTTCTGCACCACCTTCCACCTCATCCCCTCTCCTGGTGCAGACAGAGGGGGAGCAGGGGCGAGTGCCACTGAGGAGCCTCCCTCCCTCCTCTGGGCTTTGCCCCACCTGCATAAGTGAGCAGAATGTCAGGTGGAGTCGCTCATTTTGCACTGAAGAAATCTTACTGCTTTGGACAAAGGCCATCATCTGAGGAATGTTGCAAAATTTAACTGCGATATGTATGAGCTTGGAAATTCAATGGAATCAGAATCCAGCCAGACCAAGGCTCCATGAATAATGTCCCTCAGGTTCAAAGAGCAGATATCTGGTTAGCGAAAAATTAACTTTCAAACACAGGGACATGCAAAAATAAAACTGTGTAAGACAATGGTGTACGTTCATCAGATGGGCAAAAGTTATCTTTGACAATAACAAATGTTAGCGAGGATGTGGAACAACGGAAACTCCTACGTTTGTTTTGGAGCATTAGTTGGTTTAATCTTTTGGCTTTGTGTATTATCAGTATGATCTGCTCATTCTTCTAGAAAATCTCTTCAGAAATGCATGCTCCTATGTACCAGGATGCATGGGCCAGAGTTCATTGAGCACTGAGTCAATAGCCCGTATGTGAAAAGTACCCACATCTCCTCTACTGGTAGAATTGATAGAAGAAAATTGTGGCTTTTCCATAAAATGGGATATTATATGGCACTGAAAATTAACTACATTAATGAACAACAACATGGGAGCCTCTTAAAAACAATCCTGAAGAAAGAAGCAAGGTATCAGAGAGTGATGTAGAATTACAGATATCAAGTTCAAAAGCGTGTAAAATGGAATCACTTGCTCAGAAATATTGCCTTAGTAGCTAAACTTGTAAAGGAAAATAGGGAAGGGACCGCTATCGGATTGAGGCAGTAGTTGCCTTTAGGGAAGATGAGGAGTCACGTGGAAGCCTCTGGGGTGCTGGCAATGTTCTATTTCTGTTATTTAGGTGAGCGCTACGAAGGTATTTTCAACATTGGATTCATCTGTAGACCTACATGTTGTGCGTGCTCACTGTATGTCTGTCATTTGTAATAAAGACACTTGAATAACCCCACAAAGATACAAGCAAGGCACATTGAGCTTTTCTCTTGGGTCTCCGTGTCACGCTTTGATTTAAATAAGTCTGACTGATAATCATCATCGCCAACAACATACACACACACACACACACACACACACACGCACACACACACACATACACACACAGTACTTCCAGAAACAAAGAAAATCTCTCTTGCCATCAGATTCCTTAAGAAAATAAATCCTACTCAGAGCTCCTTGTTACCAACCACTTGTACATACTTGGCGAATTTCTCCTGTAGAATCATTCGGAATACACCTGGTGCAGCCAGGAATTGGGTGATGGGGTATTTGAACAACACCTGGAAAGCGAGAAGAAAGGGGATTTTATTTCCATAGTTGAAAGCATCCCCATGATGAACACGGCAGTTGTGACCTCCCCTCTAGAGAGCCCACTCATTTGTTAATTCTTTCCATATACGTGTATCGGGCAGGAACTTCATTAGGGTATGTGTAAGATGGTGTCAGGAGGGACACAGAACTAGGGAGGTGACATCAGACATGACACAGCAGACACAGAGGAAATCAGACCAACACCAAATGACAAGGCAGAAGCTGGCAGATGTCATAACAGGGACTTGGAGGAGTTACGTGAAGAACACAGTGAGGGAAATAGTTCTTGTGGTTGGGCGGTGAGACCTTGATGGAGGAGGTGGCACTTAGGAGGGACAGTCACAAGTGGGCAGGGGTCTGCAGCAGAGAAGTGGGAAGCTCCTGTTCCATGCATTAAAATCCCAGTGATGAGGAGGACTCGGGCCTGGGGGCAAGGGAGGCTTGTGCAGCTCTAAGGCTTGGGTGCCCAACGCACTGCAGCTGATCACGACGGGAAGCAGAAGCTGACACCCAGTGGGGCGGGGGGGTGAGGTTTGAGAAGCACAGGCAGAGGAGCTGGAAGGGTGACCTGTCCCATCTGACCCGCCATCAGGGACACATGGAGAAGGAGCCTGGAGAGAGAGGACTAGACCCCCCCGCCGTAGTCTTCCCCCACCCTGGGGAAGAGGGAGGTGAAGGAGGCTGCTCAGGAGGAGAGGGAGGAAGGGAGGACTCGGGGACGGTGGGCTCAGGAGGGAGACAGGGGAGGCCACTGCAGGCAGAGGACATTCTCTATTGAGGATGGTGCCAGTTAGGACCAGGGCCCGAGCCAAGGCGGAGCACCACCAAGATCAAGGGAAGGTGCTCCAGCAGGGTGCCCTGACCATGAGCGTGGACCAGGGAGGGGAGCTAAGGAAAAGTGAGACTCAGAACTTAAGAGGCCCCTCCCAGGAGCACAGGGAGAGGATCAGGATGTGCAGCCCTGTGTGGAGGCCGGGGGACCATGGATGGTGGAGGGACAGGCCTGGCCCTGAGGCAGAAGGAAGGTTGTTCAGGGAGACACAAAGAGAATTTTCTGATGAAGTCCACACATAGAGGAAGCTCATGCAAGGGACTTCAAATGTCATCGTCGAGGGCTGTTTTCTATGTGCCAACCTCAGGGCTAAACCCATTACACGCTCTGCCAGAGTCATCTCATCAATATTCCTAATGATTTTATCAAGCCGTAACTATTAAACACCCCAACTTATAGATAATGAACTGGGGTCTGGAGACAGCCTTCCAATTAATTTCAGAGGTAGGATAAGAAGTGAGATCTGTCACATTCCAAGGGCTCCTTTTTAAACATTTTATTATAAGGAGTAGCAACACACACACACACACACACACACACACACACACACACACACACACACACCAGCTACCTGGCCCCAGGAGACGTGGGCTGACTGGGGTTGCTTTAGTTTCTCAAAAGGCACCTTCTGGGACCTCACACCCATAACATCTCCTCTGTAGGAGGTCGGGACATGGCCCAGAAATCAGGGTTCTCTTCCAGGTTACATGTTGATGTGAGTCTGATCTAGTGACTCTCGTTCAGTGTTCCACCCTGAGAACCTCAGAGCTCGGGTTCTCTGACGCACGTGGACCTTGCTTAGTATTGCTGAGCAGAAACGTGGCCTGGAAACATGGGTTTCTTCTGGAGTTTTCTGATACTGGAATGTTGGTGTTCTTACCTGTACAATGACCTTGGGGTCCAGCTGGGCCAGGTGGTGGACGAACAGCGTGGATCCTGCTGTCCACGGTTCAAGCAGGCACCCCACAAGAGCCAGAATCCAGCCTGGGTCCGACATGCACCACAAGACGTCCGAGGTCTTCAGCTGCAATACTTTCCTGCTAAACTCCAAAATGCAGTGGGCTCAGCTGGGCCAGCAGCAGGGGAGCTGGTCAAGGGGGGAGGGGCTCTGGTTTTCAGCTAGGGAATCACCCTCCCACTCTGAGTGTATGGGATGGGGCTCCGGGCACCCTCACCACGGGTCCCTAATGTGCACCACGTTCTCTGATCACAGGCTACCCAGGCTAATGCTAATGATTCTTAAGGCCTAGGTAACGACAGCTTGGAAGAAGTCTGTTGCTGGATCTGAATCAGTTACCACCAGGTGATGTAGAAGACACTTTTCAGCAATGAGACACAAGCCTTTCTGAGAATAGCGTCAGCAAAGCAGAAACAGAGCTGAGGGGTGGAGAGAAGAGAACCCAATCTGGAGTCTCTCCAGCGATGCTGGGGGCCAGTCAGTTCTAGTCTTCATTCTTAGGCTAAAAGGGTTCTGGGTGGGGGTTTCTGTCTTTGCAAAGGGGCACAGAATGCGAGAGGGAGAAGAGAACCAATGAGCACCCAC